CTCATAATTTCTGTCAGAACATTGAACCTTGCAATCTAACTAAGCCAGACAATGATCTAGGGACAAAATATCGCAGGTGATAATTTGTGGCGTTTATCGGCTTTTGAGTAGAAATCAGGAAGTAGAAAGACGAATCTAGAATTGAAGTATGGTTGTTTAACATGGAACTGATGAATCTTCACTCATACATATATGCTTGCGTGTTGCCTTGTGACTTTTCTGAACAGCAATTGGTATTTTGACACGCATGAACTACAAGCGTTGGCATGCCATTAATGGAGGACAGTTGACAAACTCGTTCCTACTGAAGGCCTGTATCAGACAAATTTATTTACACCAACCCCTTCCTTTTCCTCTACTGGTCGACCAGATCGTAAAAAACTCCATATCTCATTAGAAACAAGAAATACAGCGCATAGTTAAGATGGAGCTAGCTGATTTCTACTTTCAAAATAAACTACCATCTCTTTCAGACAAAGAGCAGGAAGCGCAAATGAAGACAGTCAGAGTTGCAGCAGCCTCTGCAGCTGTAGGGCTCAACATACACAAGGGAAAAGCAAGATCCACCGGTGCAACACACCAAGCATCAACCAAATCAGACTTTGCAGAAAAACTTTGGAGGATGTCGAAACCTCTACATGTATGGACAGTATCATTTGTAAAAGAGGTGTATATGAGGCAGAAATAAAGACGTTGATCTGTAAAGCGATGGCAGCAACTTTACAAATGAAGAATGTCTGTAATTCAGATCAACTATTAACCGACACGGAAACCAGAATGAATATCCAAATACTGAAGTATTGGAGAGCTGCGAAAGATATTTCCAAAAACACACTGGTATTTATAACACAATGTCTACTAAGAATACTCCAAATCCTCTGATATAACACCACCAACCAAATCAGCCGTTGGAGAGAACAAGTCAGATTCCAGATGAAAAGGCAATTACTAAAAATCACATGATGTAAGTACGATATGCATTACAGAAACTACATAAATGCATTACGAGGCATGACCTAACTTGAAATTCTCAGAGTCATTGGAAAAGATGTAGACCAAAGAACAGGTTGCAGTGGGGATTAAAGGTAGAGCTAAATATTACTGAATAGGATTTTGGAAAGCCGGGAAGGTGAACGTAGGTCGGAATTTACCGACTATCTCTTGCTGGTAATTTATTCTCTATGAAGGGGAACAGGCATAATTAGGTAACTAGTTCTTATTAAGAAAAAATGATCACCGTTTATTACTGTTAAGGCCTAGTTAGATATCATATCGGCTGTAAAAACCGATGTTTAGACGAATAGAATAACAGACATGTTTATTTATAATGGTTCAAACTGTACTACGAAAACACAAAGTGTTGGCTTGTAACGCATGACTGATATTACTATGGCATCAGTTTAAAGCATACACTTAAAAAAAACATCATAGTCTAAGAAATGCGATTCGACTCCTACGATTAAGATACAAACTAAGAGAATGTGGTTTCCCTAACTAAGACTGAAGTTTCTGACAAGAACTTCCCAAATTCTCGAATTGGAATTTGAGTTCGTGACCTTGTGATACTTGTTTAAACGTATCACCAGATAATTAAAAATAGTCGAAGGCATTTTGCTGTGAAGGGTTTCCTATAATGAAACAGGATATCTTCAGTATATCTTGACTAAATTTAGTAAATTTGTACATTTGGAGCTTTAATAGTAATAGGTGAGTAAAATGCAGTCAACAATGTTTATGTTCTATGCTTTCTATAACCTGTTTATACCGTGTTACATATATGTACACCTGGTGATTTCTTGTCAGTTAAGTATTATTTACTTGCAAATGATGCCTATGTTTTTTATTTATTGCCTATTGTTTGTCTTTCGCTAATTTGATATGGAGCTCATAGGCATGGTCTATTGTCCCATACAGCGTGTCGTCATCAAACGCCCCTTTGTCTACAGTCTCGTTCTTTGAGAAGTATATTACTTTTCGTAAGCAGGATTCTTCTTCTTTAGTTCAATGCATACTCTTGTTACACCACATGGAGCTATTATTATTGATTCTGGTAATGCTCTTTTTAATGCATCACTCATGTGCATTAGCTCAAGCTGATAACGCATTACAATGACTTAAAACTAAAAATACAAGTTCCATAATAGTAGTAGTATCAGCTGCAAAATGAAAGGCTGGATGTTTGGCGCGCAACAACATATTGCGCGGTCTCAGGTTAATGAAAGCAGGATAAAACGCAGTTGATGCAACCGTGTTGTTGCGGATGATCCTTGTTGACTTACAATATTTCTATTTACCCACTCAAGCTACTCTGCTAAATAACCTATATTTAAAGAACCCAGCATAATCTATCTAGACCCAGTATTCATGTAATGTAATAAGCTTTTTAGTTGCTTCTTGTTTATAATTGAGTGTAATCCCCTGTGTTTTTTCACTAATAGCTTATTTACTGTGACATTATGGTCAACTAATAGTTTTATACGAAATTACATAAGTTTAATAACCAATCACGCAAACGTATACTTTAGGAGAGAATACATATACACCAATGTATTGTACAAAATTAAAATGCTTAAAATTTGTATGTCATATAATCTGTTAGCATGCAATAGAATTTAAGTAGTTTAGCATTTAGTACATCAGCCTTATACCTATTGTATGCAATCATTTTAAGTTAATTTTTCTTCGATTTCGACTTCACTTTTACCTCTGTAACCAACTGGTTCGTATCATTCTACGTTGTACCTTCACAATGTGACTTGTTATCAGCCTTTTTCATCCATAGACTATCCATATGCTTATTTGAAGTGATGATTCAACCTTAAATGCCTGTTAGTTGAATAACATACTTTGAGGTTGTAAAGGAAATTTTTAGCTCATGTAGATGACTATGGTGTAGTTTTGTTCTCTGAGCTCAAAGGAAGAGCATACTGTCGTTACCTTCGTTCTCTTATAAGGGCATCTAAGAGCTTACTATTGATAATGAATGTTGAATGGAGATTAATCAATAAATTCATAAATTAATGTGGCTTAGTAAACAATCACGATAAATATTAATAATTAGTTCATAAATGTCTCGTAGTTGTCTTTAACTAGTAGGTGATGCTTTGATTGTGACCAATTTGGTTTCGTGTGCTATTGCAGGCAACTTGAACGGGTGTACTTACGTACAAAGTTCTACGTTGTAACTGACTGACTGACCGACTGAGTAGCTGATGATAAGGTCAGATGTTGAATTTTAGTTGAAGATGAAGCATCGGTCGATGAGGTAGTACATCTTCGACTCAACTCTTTCATTCATGTATTATGCTTTCCGAACGTACGCCTAACCCAACACCCAATGTGACAGGAAGCTAGGCGTGATTATGACAAAACTTGGCATCAGTTTGTTGAGTCATCGATTGTTGCATTGAATCGTGCTAATAATAATTGAAGTCTATCTGTGGTTGGGGTTGATGTAATTATCGTGACCTATGGTTGAAGTAATGTTTCCTAGGATTCGTCTGAATGGTACATATGCATACACTCTTTCCCCTTTTTTGATTTTGAGTTCTACAGTTGTCTTATACTTTTTTATCCTAAGAATTTGTTCTTTCTTATTGAATTACACAATCTATGGTTAATGTTTTTGCCCACCATTATTGTTGTCGTCACTCCTATAATCAGTTCATCTAATTTATGTGGTGTAACTTGAGAACTTCAACTGTTGCATATATGTGCTAGGTTCTCTGTTGCGTATGACTTATTGACTAGTTTATTAAGTTATATATTTTAAGAGAACGACGAAGAGAATCCAGAGTAGAACCGTTGATGTAGGTACATAATATATGAGGTAACGTACCTACCAAACGTCTACTGGTCAGTAAACTGGGTTATAAATTGCCTTGACAATGTGGCCTTGTGGTATTGTATTCTTTCCTACGCAGTAAAAAATTAAAGTAGGTTGCAAACTAACAATTTAGTTGAAAACTGGATGATTAAGTCAACTAGTCACAGGTACATATAATCAAGGAATAATAGCATGTTCTACTTTAAATAACTTCAGTATCAAATTTCAAATCTCAAACAACAACAATAATGGTGCATCATAACAATTTTTCATGTCGTAATTATATGCTATGAACTTTTAAACTTAAGTGTTATTCAGTTAGAATCGTTTTTCGTCAAGTTTTTATGGTGCTAAAGCAAATGACGCACATTGCATCCCAGTCTTCTTCATTACGAATGAATTTCTAGTGCTGCTTAGTTCTTTTTGACTAATGGTAATTTGATTTGATTTGATTTTCTAATCGTGTTCCACCTAATTCGCTATCGTTTATATAGTAAGAGAAACATAGACTTGTACTTTGTAAATCAAAAAATCACACTGATTATCTTTATTTAAGCTTTAATACATACCTAGTAAATGAGAATTTATGGGACTTGAATTTTCGATTTTAATAGTTACTACACGTCAGCAGTTAGTTTATAAGTAATGTAGAACCTGGTACAAGTGTGTATCCACTACTAGTTACTGTATCTCTATCATATAACATATGACTGACAAACAATACTGACCTACATGTTGTTTTACTTGCCTGGTATAGAGTAGTAGGTCACACTAATTAAAGCATTCGACTTAAATTTTATCACGTTTCAGATTTCAATGTGTCCTTCTTATCTACTTCAATCTAGGCAACCAATTTTTTTGTCACTAGTCCTCTTTACTTCAATCGTGATTCAAATCGAAGTACATGGATTTTATCTTGTATATGAGAGTTAGGTTATTGAACGTGCAAACCCCTAAATAAAACCCAAGGTTGAAGTCCCCGTTCTACTTATATTATAGAGTTAGAGGAAATGTATCACTTGTTGTATATATAACTTAATCAATATCTCAGTTAAATTTTATACTGACATTTTTTTTCATTGAAAAATTTCAAGAATTTTTCCATATAAACATTCCAAATGAACTTTTTTTTAAAATGTTCGTTTTATTTTTTCATTTTTTCTTCAAAGGGATAATGTCTACTACTTTAAAATTAGAAGATCCTACAGTAGATGTTGGTGATATTGAAAAATATCGTATGGCTTTTTTAATGCAATTTTTTGTACAACATAAACGACGATTTCGATTTCCACGTCTTCGTTTACAGGTAAGATGGTGGACTTGATTTTTGTTTTCATATCATTTGTGATGATGATGATGATTTGTGAAAGCTATTTATTTAAAGTACTTTATCTGTCAGTTCATCAAGACACACACTCTTTGAGTGGGTTTCTTTAAAAAAAGGTAACCGAAATATTTATGCACCATACAAATCATTGAATTTGTCAGTAATGTAGGTTATTCCCCGGAAGCCTAAATCAAAGTAGGTAGTTTTTAGAAGGTCACACACTGAGCCTTTGATCTATAAGTATGGTACACAAGACAGTAGTGTAGCATTGTCCGGAGATGCGATCCTATGGTGACTGATGACCAACAATAGATTCATACTCTTTTCATTCCGTCATAAGCTCTTGGACATTATTAGTTTGAAATAAATGTTTCCCAACTCATCCAAATAGATTACCCTTTATCCAGTAACTCGCTACAAGCAATAAAAAAAATTCTCTTTTCGTCCGAACAACTTCTCTGACATTGGTTATTATCCTCGTATGTTTGTGATCGCATTTCGAGAGAAGGACTAGACTGTTCTCACTGTCACAGCTGTGTCAAGGTTACGAATTTGGTCACTAAACCTTTCCTTACATCGAATTACATCAGTCTATAAACAAAAGCGAGATTTAGTTTAAACACTATCTACTTTCATCGACGATCGATTTGTTTTCTCTTGAGCTCATTTCATTCGGATCAATCATTCGAAGAATCTCATAGTGTCAATCAGTTTATCCTTCTTGTTTTTTTCTCTCTCTCTAGAAACAAAATACTAACGAGTTTTATAATTAATTATTTTTGAAACCATGAATCGACCAATGTTAGACCACCAGCATTAGAAACCTGGAAGCACTGAAAGACGGCCGTTTCGTCCTGGTATGGGACTCCTCAGCAGTGCGCATCCACGACTCCTGCACCCCACAGGATTCGAACTCGGGACCTTCGGTATTGTAGGCAGATCAATAGATGAAGTAATGAAACTTCATCAGTTGAGGTAGTTGGGACATGTGCTGCGTATGCCTAACCACCGACTGCCTCGACGAGCTTTGTTTTGTAGTGTAAGAATAGGTTAGAAGAAAGTTAGGGGCGGCCAAACCAAAACATGGCAAAAATCCATGAAGTCATTGACGAGTGGACTGAGCCATGTCGTTAACTGTCGACTACTTGGTTGGTGTCCGCGAGATGATAATAATCAATGGTTAGAGACCTTGAATGACGTGGCTCAAAATCGTTTGCAATGACACCGGTGTATTTATTCTCGGTGTTCTCTCTCAAATCCTAGTCTTCTGGATTCTTCAACACCTCTAGTTTTTACTTTCTAAACTTATCTCATTAAATCATACTTCTTGAATAATATCTTCTAATCCTAACCTCTCCGATTACTTCTAATACCTCTTCTACTATTGGATTTGAATTGACAATTATATCTCTGTGTGTGCTAATGTGGTATGGCAACATGAACTGTGATGTACTCTCATGTACGAAGTTCTACGTTGCTGTATCTGACTGACTGATTCAATGTTCATATATTTATATATATATATATATATATTTATTTATTTATCCTATAAAATGGAATTGAATAATAGCAGGTCAAATAATTATAATAATAAAAAAATTATAAAAAAATCATAATTTATTTTATTTTCCAACAATAATAATAATAATAACAAAAACAACATGTTAATCAATAAAAAATATTTTTTTTTCTCCGTCAATTTTCAAAACATAATCTATGAATCAATATGTTTGATTGTAAAACTACTACTGTTTACTTTATGTTTACGATTTATTTATATATATCTCTCTCTCTTACTCTCTATGTATGCATATGCTCAAATGTAAACTGTGAATCGAATTATAGGATAGATAGTTTTCCAATAGTTGGACATTTTCTTTTCTTTGTTTGTTTTTTAAAAGTTAGAGTTGTTTTAATTATTAAAATAGGATCTAAATTAGTCAAGGACGATAGTTGTGTTTTTCTAATTTTTCTAATGAAAAATAAACGAACGAGATCTTTTTTTTTTTAAATCATGGATCCGCGAGACGAAAGTCACCAATGGTTATAGACACCTTGGATGACATGGCTCAAAATCGTTTGCAATGGCGCAAGTGCGCAACCATTCACATTGTGCTCTCTCTGAAATCCTAATCTTCTGGATTCGTCAGCACTTTCTCCTTCTTTGTTTTTCTAATCTTATCTCACTGTATTATACTTCTTGAATAATATCTTCAAACCCTCTAGTCTTCTTCATTACCATTAATACCTCTACTATGTTTATCACAATGGGATTTGATTTGACATTTGCATCTCTCTGTGTTCTAATGTGGTATGGCTACATGAACTTATGTACATACGTACGAAGTTCTTACGTTGCAACTGACTGACTTTTAAAATCATGAATCGATCAATGTTATAGAAGACCACTGTTAGAAACCGGGAAGTATTGGATGGCTGTTTTGTTCTAGTAAGTGTATGGGACTGATCACCTAGGAGGGGTCGGCCAAACCAAAACATGGCACAAATCCATAAAGAAGTCACTAACAACTGGATTGGGTCATGTTGGTAGATGCAGACTACCTGGTTGGGGACCGTGAGACGATAGTAACCGATGATTAGAGACCTTGTATGACATGGTTCAAAATCGTTTGCAATGGCGCAGGTGTTTTAAGAAATTCTAATCTTTTGAATTCATCATTACCTCTACCTTTCTCTTTTTTAAATTTATCTCACTGAATTATACTTCTTAAATCATATCTTTGAACCCTAATTTACTTACGTACGAAGTTCTGCGGTGTAACTGACTGACAGGACTCATCAGTAGCAGTGCGCTTCCCTATGACTCCCATTAGTTAGTCACTGGACCTTCGATCTTGCAAGCAAACGCTCAAAATCTTGTCCAGTACTTGCTCCAGCTTTTTAACAATACGTGATTTATGTTATTTGTAGCATTCTTTTTTCATGGAATTATGCTTTGAATTAGTTTTTCTGACTGGCTGGTGTTTTCTAGCGAGTTAGTTTCCTCTGAAATGGCGTCGCTAACTCAATGCCAAACCCTCCTTCTCCTCCTCGTTTTTCTGGGCTTGGGACTGGCAGTAACTCCAGAAGGGCTTTTAGGTATAAGTAGAAATCAAATTGTAGTTGATTTAATTAAATCGCATACATGTATACGCGTATCCGTGTTTTTTATTTAAGGCAGATATTATCAAGTAGTGTTTAAATTTTCTACTTACTTTGAGATATACGAGGTAAGTAAGTAAGTAATTCTATTACTTATTCTCAAATATCCTGGTACGATTGAGAGTGAGAAGAGTTCACTCGTCCCCCTCTCGAAATGCTCTCAAGTGGCCACTTATGTATAGCCACTACCAGAAAAATCCTATTAACTACATTCTCTTGACAGAGGTGTTTCGTCTCTTCGCTGATGCGGTACGGCAACTTGAACGTATGTACTCATTTACGAAGTTCTAAGTTGTAACTGACTGACTGACGGAGATGTTGTTCATCAAATCAAGAGGACAAAAAGAGAACTATTTATTTTGCTTAAACCGGGCTAGTGGATAAGCGAGAATCTACTTAGAGAAGTTGGAAACCCTGATTCCCTATCAAGGATGTACGTGATCTCCAAGATCCTGTCAGAACAAAATTGTATATGAATCTTTTGTTGGTCACTGATTACCATCAAACTGTATCTTTCTGACACTGTCCCACTACTATCTTGTAGCGTATAGACCTATAGATCAAAAGCTCAGTGAGTAGCACCACTTAAAGAGTCATCTACTTTAGTCTACCCATCCGACCGGTATCTCGTACCACATACAAATTCAATAATTTATGTGATGCATCAATAGTTAGTCAGTCAATCAGTCAGATGCAACGTCGAACTTCGTACGTAAGTACATCACTTCATGTTGCCATACCACATTAGCACAGAGACATCTAATTGTCGATTCAAATCCAATAGTAGAAGAGCTTGTAAAAGTATTAGAAGTAATCGGAGAGGTTAGGATAAGAAGATATTATTCGAGAAGTATGATTCAGTGAGAAAAGTTTAGAAAGTCAAAACTAGAGGTGTTGAAGAATCTAGAAGATTGGGATTTGAGAGAACACAAAGAATAAATGTACCGGCGCCATTGCAAACGATTTTGAGCCATGTCATTCAAGGTCTCTAACCATCGATTATTATCATCTCGCGGACCCCAACCAGGTAGTCGACAACTACCGACATGGATAAGTGCACTTGTCAGTAACTTCATGGATTTCTGCCATATTTTGGTCTGGCCGCCCCTAACTTTCTTCCAACCTATTCCTACACCACAAAACATAGCTCTTCGAGGCAGTCACTAGTTGGGCATACGCAGTACATGTCCGAACTGATGAAGTTTCATTACTTCATCTATTGATTTGCCATTCTTACCTAGCACCCTATTCCTAATAACAGCGTTGCTCACTCGGATGTCCCACGATATACGAGCAATGCTTCGAAGACACCTATGATCGAAAACCAGTATAACCTACGAATATCTTCTACTCTCATCGGCCATGTTTCACTGCCATAAAGTAAGACTACAGTGAACTACTTAGTGCACAGTACACTCGCGTCCTTTAGTCAGTCAGCAAAAACGGATATCTCGCTTTCGCCATAAGTGAGTGACGCAGGTTGACAATAGTTAAGTACCCTTCTATATCAATATTTCAATATATATAAGTTTTAAAAAAACTCTCTCATTGATTGTGAATCATCTCTGTTGGTTTGATATGTCACAGAATTAGGTTACATCATTGCAGATTTATACATTGCTTTGTAAAAATTCCAATTTCCATTGTATTCTTGATGTTTGAAAAAATTTTCATAGTTATCTTAGTTTTTTTATCCATTTGTGGTATATATATATATATATTACATGTATGTATATAAATCTGTGCCCCGATTGCCTTTTTAATTTTTTTTCTTCGGTTCGGTCAATTCTCGCATTGCATCATAATACACACACACA